TATGAAGCGGTAGATGAGTTTGTGCTCTGGATCTATGACAGAGTAATCATCCGGAACCTTCTCTCGCTGTGGGACAAAGAAATAATCCTCACCACTTCATCGACAGCTTAAAGCAGCACAGAGCATGTGAGCAGAGTTGGAGCAAACAGTGAGAAATATTTTGGACAGAGGATGGAGCGAGTATGTGTAAAGGAGTGAAGTCCAGCTCAACGCTGCCATTGTAAGGCAAGTGCCCACTGGGCATGCAACTGTTTATAAAGTAAAAGAAGAGTAAAGGGAACCAGCTGACCAATGTTTCACATAAGAAGAGGTTAATGTCATTTGACTCACTCAATATTTCAAACAAGTAAAGATGAGGTACAAGGATGAGCAGGGGTTCATTTGACTGCACGGGGGAAGCAACGAATAACATTAACAAGGAAGCGGGGAGCAAACCATTTTTTTCTCGCAACGTGCAACTCTCACTGCTCCTCTCTGGTCACATGCTTTGCACAAGACAAAAACTGTCACTGTTTCGTAGCATCATAACACTCACCGTCAAAGGGTGTTTTTTCTCATCAAATATTTCCAGAGAGCGATTTGAATCCCTGCAACAGGGCATTAACAATTACTTAATTAAAACATTAAACGTGTTAATGTAATCAATGATTTTTATGATTTACTGTTGACCTTCTGATCTACATGTCACAAGTCAAATACTAAAAAACAATATGTGTCCTGGACTTTCTATAATTATATTGACATAAGAGAAGACCATAAAGGCAAGTGCCAAATTGTGAACAATAGGTAATTGGCAGGAAAACACAATTTGTCAAGGCGTGGACTTGAGTGGAACAAGTTGACAATAGGAGTCAAAAAGTCATGTTTTCTTTTCTCTTTTTTTCGTGCGTGCCAACACATTCTTATACTCCCATTGGCTTACAGTGATATTTATCATCGACTAAACCAAGAGTCATAATCTCTTATTAAATGGGCGGAACATTTACATAAGAACACACACAGCCACCCATTATAGGTCACATTAACCTGTGACAAAACAAAAAGTAAAAAAGTAACTTCAGATATGATCATCTCACATAGAAAGTAACTTCAGATATGATCATCTCACTGGGAGCTAATAGAACAATAGTTACTGTGTTAGCTTCATTTGCAAAAGCTACAAAATGTATATTGATCATTGCTGGACGTGTGTGTCTGTGTAGGTGAGGATGTCATTTAATGACATGTCAACAAGGCCTCAACATTATGGTCAGATTAGTCAATAGGAAAGAATCATCAGAAGTCATTGATGCCCTAGTGGACACCAGGTGTAATTGACAGATAATGCCATAAAGTCTTTCAGTTGATATATCTGTGTTGTCATTGAACAGTAGAGCAGTACAAACAGAGTTTACTGTGACAATCAACCAAATCATCCATACCTGTTCTTAATGTGATAATATATTGCCAGTGCAACACTGAACAAGAGAGAGAAAGAGACACAGATAATGAATGACAACTGAATGCAACACAGAATAACTGAAATGCTGGTAATTTGAATGTGTTTTTACAAGTTACACCTAGGCCTATACAAATGAAGCAGATGGTAATGTCTTTTACCATTTGATCGTGCTCTTGAGGTTTGGCTGGCTCACTGTGCTGTCATCAATGTATATTGTTGAGCAGGAACTGTACTTTTTTGTCAGGAGTCCTGGGGACATCTGAAATAGAAATGACAAAGTTTACAAACAAAGACAAGAAATACATAAGTGAGAAATGCACTGATGACAGGTTTTCTTTTCTAGCCAGGTGTTTACTGCTCACTAATTTAGCTTTTTTATTCTAATTGATCAATTATATAGAAAAAATCACATTTTATAAATAGGAGGATATACCATTGCAATATTTTTTTATCAGTTTTTTTTTCAGTTTGAGCTCACTCCAGATTATAGCTCCCAGTAATGGAAAAAAAATGAAATGAAATACCTAGGCCTATCGCTTACATCACCAAAAACTATCATTTTACAGGGAGAGTCAACTTACATGATTCAGGTAGTTGCTTTTCCTTTTCTCACGCACTGAATTTGTGAAAAAAAAAAAAGAAAAAAAAATTAGGTTGTGAGACTTAAAAGGTGGAAAAAAAGTGTATTTTAAAAAAATAATCTTAAATACCGTCTGTCTGTGACTTGTTGAGGAAGAGAGTGCTAGCTCTGGGATGGTCTGAAGGGTTGGCTTCTTGGGCCAGTTCTGCAAAATACAAGTATGAATCAAGTTGCTGATATGCAGATGTGAACAGGTCAACTTTTGAACATGATTAAGTAAAAAAAAAAAAAAACACACCATCTGGTAGCTCCCTGTCACTGATGTGCTGCAGGTAAGTCCCGGTGTCTTCGCTCACGTCCTCTGTGGTGGTGATGGGACATTCCTCCAGCTCCACTTCTCTTCTATAGATCTTTGGACTCTCTCCAGTAGAGAAGCAGCAGGACACTGAACCCCCCATTGTTGATGTACAACAGTCCTGCTGCAGCCAATAGTACTTCCCATACACCTAGTACTAAGACTACCAGAGCTAACCAATATAAGGTCACTAGGAAAATCTGGAAGTAGATGGATCTGACTCTATATTAATAGGAGCAGATGTACAACGATGTAATACATTCGAATTGTATATTCAGGAACATTCAGGCCTTTTAGAGAAAACATCCAGTATCTGGGTTGGATCTAAGCACCGAGATTCGTCTGGGTGTTTGCAGCTGACACGTTCATGGCTTGTCAGCTGCACGGTTCTCATGCATGGTGGACAGGTTTGTTCTGGACTCCAATCAACTCATTTTACAGCAGACAGGCCAACTATAAAAAGTCATAATAAGCTTTTTTACCCGGCTCCATGGCTAGCAGGCTAACGCTAGCTCCCCGCTTCTCAATCCGTTCTGCTACGACCAGCACCAATCCATTTTACTGTGAAAGACTCAATATATGGTCTTAATACGATATACAGACATTAGACACGTGACGAAATCACCCAAATAGTGATACTGTGTAAAATCGTAGTTGTGCAGAATTATTTAAGAAACATAGACGCTAGCTTTGCATTAGACACGTCTTAGATGTCAAAACTGTCATAGCGATAACAGTCCACGGGACACTTCCGGTGTTTGGTTTTCAAAATAAAAATCAATCTTTGAAAGGAATAATCATCAGAAACGACCTATATATATACTTTCATGTCTGTTAGTGCTTTCAAACTAATTTAAAGTTAATTTGCAATGCTGCTATTTTAAATCCAGTACTGTTCTCAACACATCAAATGTCCTTGGTTTTATTTTTTGTATTAAATCCATATACCGGAAAATACATTGCAGTGTTGTACAAATTGTGCTGAGATTCACTTGCAGACACGCCCACCTTTATGACGGCAAACCGTTCGTTGAAAAAAAACTTAAAAATACGCCCACATAAAACATAGGCGTTTTTCTATAGGTCAGGTTCCGTAAGTCGTTACCTCATTTGCTGCAGTGTACTCGCACTGAGCAAAAAGGAAACACTAAATGTTTAAACGTATCTATGGCTTTGAATTGAGATATACAGTCCACAACGGCTGATTAATTCCTCCGGTTAGAGCATACTTTGAAGTGTTTACCTGTAACTCAAGCTAACATTTGTGAGCATCGTTAGTTTTGTTCCTCATAGATTACCAGCTCAGTTGCCAGTTTTGACTTATTCTACTTACAACGCCACTCCCTACATGCCACGCACTAGGTCCTACCAAAACACACGATATATCACATTGATGTAACCTAGTGACAAATGGAATGGAAGCCAACAGAATTAACATGTTTGCCTTATTTAACTGCCACCATGTTGTTAACACCTGGAATTACTTCCTGCTTTGATAGGAATAAATTATTAAGGCCCACGTGGTAAATCGTTCGTTAGTGGTTAGCCTTGATTGGCTGTTTCTTTATGTTTCCCTGATACCTACAGGCCTGTAATTTAATTTGTGCTATAAGTCTGGCATGTATGGCATATCTGACAATAAAGTTGACTTGAATTGACTTGATCAACTGATGGTCTTTGTTGACATCATCTTCACGTGTGTGGGACTTTTCTCCGGGTACTACCCAGGATCCAGAATCAGATTAAATGGGCACGAAAATATAAATGCGATAGACAGAAACGTCCAGCAGGTGGCGGTAAACATCCGCTGAGTCTGTTCGTCTACCTGACTGAGATCATCAATGAAGATCTGGATGGTCGATCGAGGTGTCCATAGTTATTTAGCTTCATATTTAAAAAATATTTTTTCACAGCATGGCTCTCGTACCTTATGATGAGAACTCGATACACGCGCTATCTAAGCTCCACAGCTCATCAGCTAACTTCACCTTCGCCAATCACAGCCTCCGTCTGTCACAGGACTGGAACCAGTTGGGAGTAGCAGCAGTGGTGTGGGATGCGGTGAGCAGCATGGATGCAGCGTCATTGCTTTATTGTTTTTTCCTCATTATAAAATCACTGAATGTTAATGACGCGTTTGTGGTGTCGTTGTTTTGCAGGCAGTCGTCATGTGCATATATCTGGAGCTGGGACAGATAGAACTTCCGGGGAAGGAAGTAATTGAACTGGGAGCTGGAACTGGGCTGGTGGGGATCGTTGCAGCCCTGCTGGGTGGGTGTCTCTCCATCAATATCCGTTAAACAGATACGCTCGGTTTCTTTAGCACATAAGTGTTGAATTCCAGAAAAAAGCTGTAGGATTACAGTTTTAATACGAAGCATTGAAAGGTAACCAATAATTTGCAAAAGACTAGAACGAAATTGGTCACAAAACACTATACACGTGTTCCTGTCATTGTATGTACCTGTCCTTTCACTACTTAATATAACAGTCAACAGCCATACAATGTTTTTTAACATGTAAACAACGGAAGTAAAGATAAGTGCCGGCAAATAGTTAAGCTTTTTAGTCTCAAATGCAGCACAGAAGCTAAATAATAGCTAAAAGGACAGATGCACAGATAGCTAGAAGCTAATCGAAATAAAGACATTTTATTTTTGATAAATGAAACGTTAAATCACTGTAATGGAAGTTCAAACAACAATAATAACAATAGGTAACAGTTTACGAAAACATGAGCCCATAAATATGCAAAGGTAAGCAATAACGTAATGGGAAACTAACATTTACTCAAAATTCACAACAGATATATTAAAATGTGGCTAAGTTTCATTTAACAATAAGCAAATTATTTGTAATAATAAAATATTAGTTAAAATTATTATTATTAAAATTATTTTTATAGGAAATTGATTAGCAAGTTCTTGCTTTAGTTGTATTCATATTTAGATTTTTTTAAATAGCGCTAATTTTCTAAATTTGGCAAACAAATCAGTGAACATTAGCTAAAATGAACACATGTAAAAGAAAAACCTGAATATTTACCCAGGTAGCCATAAAGTTAGCCAAAAACAAAAAAAAATCGGTCAAATATAATATGTGTGAACTGTAAAAAACACAGCCCTTAATGGTTATTGTTGAATTGATTCAGGAATCATTATCCATTATCCTGTCAATCATTGTCAAATACCTATAGCTAACAAAAAAGCTAAAAAGTTAACAATACAGAGCTGAGACAAAATGCTAAATATTAGCTGAAATAAAACCTAGGTATTTGGCTGGGCATAGCTGCAAGTCTCTCACGTGAAAACTTCTCAAGTCTAACTTTGTCAAAGATATCCTAGAAATAAGCTTAAAGCTATTTTCAAGTGTAAAATTAAGCATACTTTAGGAATATGAAAATGGCTCAAGGCTAGACTAGAGTTAACTGAGTTTCTCCAAGGGATTCAAACATTTCATGAAATTTACCTGGAAATATCCTGTCCTTTCCAGGTGCCAGAGTGACCATCACTGACAGGAAGCCCGCTCTGGAGTTCCTCTCTGCCAACGTGAAGGCCAATCTTCCCTCAGACCTTCAGAAATCAGTGACGGTGTCTGAGCTGACCTGGGGCCAGGGTTTAGATGGGTACCCAGCAGGAGGATATGACCTGGTGCTGGGGGCAGACATTGTTTACCTGGAGGACACATTTGCAGCGTTGCTGCAGACCCTGGAGCATCTCTGCTCCGACACCACCGTGGTTTTACTAGCTTGTAAGATTCGCTACGAGAGGGACACAGGCTTTTTGAGCCTGCTCAAACAGCGGTTCTCAGTGGAGGAGGTTTATTATGATAAAGAGCGGGACATTCATATATACAGAGCCCAGAGGCAACCACTGAGGAGGGATTTGTGACCAGTCACTTCTTTATAATGGAACTGTCTCACTGATGACTTCACTGTCCATTGGTTGATCATTAAGAACCAATAACACACAAGGTTCTCCTCTACTCTTTAGGTAATCTCAGATGAAACTCAGTTTTTAAGTCAACCTTGTTAAACATGTTATCAGGTAGATATTTGCTCTTACTTTGCCAGGACATTTACAAATGGCATGTTCTGCCTAATTCTCAATCTTCAATCCTGTTAGGGTAAATGCACCTTGTATAATAACTAATTTTCCTTTGATAGGTCTTAGCCTTCCTGGGTGTTGTCATCAGGTTTGGAGGTCAGGCACATTTAGCAGCTGTGTCTACCCATGGCTTTTACACAGGTAACAAAGATAACAAATTCATTCATAAACCTCATCTTCAGAAGATAAATATTGAAACTAGGACTGTTAATAGTCAGAGGTTCAAAAGGCATGCACATTCAGCAGCAGTTTCAATATTATCTACATTAAGTGGTGACATGATTGTGAGGATTATTTTTTATGCTCTTTACTGCCAAAAGTACGTTTTTAAGTCAGACAATTTTCATTTAGCGCAGCGTGGGAAACTTCTCCTTCTTACAAGGACTCTACAGTCACATTGTAACCAGTGTGGCTTCATTGTGGCTCAGGCCCATCTTCTGTGCCAATGGCCTGCAATGATTTACAACCTTAAAAAGAATATACCAGAAACACATTTTATTACCAGCTGCCAAAATTGCTTAACTCTGACATAAAGCACTGTATAACACAAAGTCTGTGAAATAAAATCCATGTAAAGCAACAAAAGCATCAGTTCATGACTATACATAATACCTTAAAAAATACTGTATAACTGAATTTATTAGCATGAAAATATCCACATGAACACCTGTCTTTAAATTTGGTCACACATTGCAATCTCTTCATAGAGTGTTTCTGAAGGTTTTGGGCCCATTTGATATTGAAGACTGAAACTGGTTAACAGGATAATCTGCAGCGGTGGGACATAGGTGAAATGTCAGAGGATTGTATAAGCAAGGAAAAAGTGCAAATAGAACTCCGCATTCCTGTAAATGCTGGGTGGGAACGCAGCATCTGCTGAATCAAATACAGCAGGTCCTGGGGTCTCGTGTAAGTCGTCAAAAAACCCTGCACAGTGCAGGGTCGCTGCCCCCCTTAGGTTATTTTAGGAGTTATTTTAGGCATCTTTACCCTAAACTTTGAAAACACACACACACACACACACACAACAGACCTTAAATTTGCTCAGTATTTTGCAAAAAATATAATTTCTTCTTTTACATAACATGTGGCTTATCTTTTTTGGCTTATGTTCATGATCCCATCATTAAAACGTTTAAAAATCGATTTAAAATACACTCTGAATGAAATCAGATAAATTACCCACATACATTTGTTGAACTTTGTCAAGTTGACAACTTTTTACCAGACATGTCACCGATGTTGAATCAGGTTGTTAACCATAGTTTCTTTAGCGTTGGGGAACAGAAATGTTAATGCAATTTGTTTATGTGTGAAAAACAAGGCAAACGAAAGGCATAACTAAAGCTGAAAAAAACAAAACAAGAAAAGATAAAATATGAACAAACAAAGCAGCCCATCTACACTTCCAAAGCAGTATTAAGTAACAGGTATTAATGCGAGAGCGCAGTTATTGTTACAAATTTTGCACAAAAAAGTGACCTCGAGATTATCCAAACCAACCTGGAGTCTCAGCTATATAAACAGTCCGTCAGTGGTGGTGCCATCAAGCAATTTCCTTGTTTGCTGGTGATGGTTCCCTTTTGTGTCCAATAAAAACCAAAGAAACAAAAAACAAACATACACAATCTCTTGAATCGCCACAAAGACCCTGTAGAGATGCAATCCACTCTGGAGGAGTTCATATCAACCGTTGAAAACAAATGTTTCTGAATTTAACCCAGTGAAATTGAAGGTTCTATTACTGGTGAGTCACGTTACAGATTTTCTGGAGTTTTCTTCGTTTCTAAAAAGAAAGCAAAGGAGTAGAAAAATTGGGGCGGGGCATCCAGGTGCACAGCTCTATGCTGAGTCTCTGTGCCTGATGTGACGCGTGACCTGTTGGGCAGTTCTGTGACAGTTCTACTCCGATTTGTGACAGTACAAGTCCTTGAGGGCTTTGAGTTCCTCAATGAGAGTTTTGTTCTGGTTTTCCAGTACGGCCACACGGTTTTCTAGACATTTGACATATTCCTTCTTCTTCCTGCGACATTCACGAGCTGCCTCTCTGTGGAACACAGGAAGCTTAACGTTATGAAAAAAATAGAAAAGAATTGCATATGAACAACTTTCATTAAAATGCTAATGTTCTGTCCCAACAAAAAAACAGCAAGGCAGTGCAGTCAAATAAAAAACAAGTGGAAATGTTTTTCCAAAACAAAAAATAAATGGAATTTTTGTGTCACTAAAATCTTTTTAAAATTCCAGACGAGACTGTAGCCAACTCCACCACCATGTGGAGCAGCAAAGTACTGCGCTGTGGTACACTTTTGTACAGTTACAGCTATAAGATTGTATCAAAACAAGCTGGAGCTTATGAATTGAGATGAAAACATGAGGTGTGCATTAACGAAAGGACAATTGGAAGGTTGCCAAAAAGTTTTGAAGTTTGAAAAAACTGACAAAGAAATCATTAAAGCTATTAGACAAGTCACATACCTGTTCTTCATGAGTCGAACCTCCCTTTTGCGAGTGACCTCCTCTGTGCCTCCTGATGTGCCCAGAGCAGGAGAAGTGGCCATGACCACTCCTGGGGTGATGGCGCTGGTGGGGGCTGTGCGGATCTGGTAGGCCTGGACGTCGCCAGAGGCAGCTGATGGAATGAGTCATTTACACGACACTTAGAACGTTCATTGAAATTAATTTGCTAACCTTCCACTGTTGAAACGTCACACTGCAGCTCATACATCTGCCAACCAGCTCTGATCGGACAGCTGATCTGAGCGGTCCTACCTTGTACGACCACTTGGTTGCTGGGCACCAAGATCTGCTGCCCATCACTGGTCTGAGCGTACTGCAGGATGGTGGTGCCGGACTGGGCGCCAGCAGCACCGGCCATGGTTAGCGTCTGCAGACCCTGAACTGCTTCTGTACCATTGTTGGCCAGTTGGATGGCTCCTCCCTGGGTAATGGCGACTTAAAAAGAAAAGAAAAGAAAACAACATTAAAGGTTGCAGTGAAAAACAGATGAATCTAAGATTTGAAGACTCATGTCATCAGGGAAAACAGGTTCCAGTGTTAATCAACGTTTTTGTAATACAGCATTAAAAAAACTCTCAATCTCAAGTTACAGAGGGGGCAACTGGACAGTGGACACCCTGAAACATCAGTGACTGAAAGATTGCTCTCTTTAAAACTACAACTGCGCACTACAGCTACAGCTACATTTAACAGTTGATTTTATCTTCTCTTGCCTATAGTGTTATGTCAGGCAAACCTGGCAACACTTCAACTCATACAGTCCATAAGTACACAAATATTTTTGAACATAATTACCCTGTAATTATAGCCAAAATCCTCTTCTTCGTATCTCACCTGCATCCACTCAAACTATGTTAAATTGTAGTTGTTACATATTACACTATACTCTTCAAGTTTTTTTATTATTACATAGTGACAGGCTTAGATTTACTACAGCACATTTCAATAGTGAGCTCCCTGCTTCCTAAGAAGTGGTATGTTTACAAATGTGTTGTAATCCTGAACATGCCTCTCGTATCCAGAGTGGACGTTCAACAGTGGACACAGGAGGCTAGACCAGTTGTTCCCAACCTTTTGTCACACGAATGGAGCCATCAATCAAGATGGGGCAGACCAACTGCTAACCAATGTGTGAGTTTCTTCACCAACTGCTTGGGTTTATTTTAAAAGACCGTTACAGTTCAGGTGTACTCACTATACTGGCCACTGCTAGTCTGATAGATTGGGGTAGGCATGGTGACTGTAGTGATGGCAGGAGCTGAGTCATCCTCCGATTTCTCTTCCTCAATTTTAGGCACCGCTGGCACGTCTGATGATAGGTCGTTTAGAATTTTCCTGTGAAGAAATGTTTAGAGATTTCAGACAACTTTGATGTAAAGTAGGTCCCGTGTGTGCTTTAATCATCGTATTTGTAAAGCATCAAAGCACTTGTGATGTCACAGACTTCCCAACTGAATCACTACAGGAATGCAGACCTGTATGATGGTCTTCTGGACAGGATCTCTCTCCTCTTCTGAGAATCTGTTAGGCTGTCAATAGACTCCTGAGAGTCTTCACTCTCAGGGAAAGTTGAAATCTGCAAGTGAAAAAATAATAAGAGAACTTTCACTTCGACATGACTAAAAAAACAGGAAATTACAAGACGTAAAACTGAAGACACACATGCAAGTTGATTTTCTATCAGGAAGCAATACTGTTCATCGCAGCCATCGCAGAATCTTTTCCTCTCACCTGGACTGTCTGGACCTGTGGCGACTGGATGACAGATGGCTGTGCTGCTTGAATAACCCCATGCACCTGGACAGTCTGACCGTTGGGCAATTGCACTAAGGTGACTGTGGGGCTACTGGTCGACACCTGGCCTGCAGCTACGGATGCCTGGAGTAAATGTAAATCATATGTAAATACTTCTTAAATAATATTCTCAAATACATTTCAGAAAAAGTTAGTAGACATCTAAAAGAAAATTGAATGAACTAAAATCTGTGTTTTGTCTTTGATCCTTTTACAGACCCTTTACCTTCAACAGACTAAAGGTTAAATAAAGACGTTGTTTGGACCGAGTCAAGGTAATTGCTTTAATAAATCTAAATGTAACATTTTGCTAAACTGGTTACCAAAGATACTAATGTTCATATTTTGTTAGAAACTTACACCATGTTGTATAGAGACCGTCAGTCAGGGGTCACATGTCAGACTTTCATGTTCATAATATTGGACACATTTATACACAAAAGCCCACAGTCTCTTGGTGCCATACATGTTAATACGTGTATCTTTGATTGTGCTCATTCAGCGGCAGTGCACGCACATGGTCTCTTGACACCGTTTAAAACACTTTATATTAGATGGTGCCCCTTTCATTTTGTTACTGACAACCTGTTTTTACTTGCATGACTACTTCATATTTTCCCCCAAACTTTCAGTTTATATTTTAACTAATTTGTCAAAAAAAAAAACAGGTTAAACAATTTGAAATTAAGATTTTGGTTTTAATTGCATTTTAATGTTACGCGAACTTTATTTTTATTTTAAACAAAAACGTGCGTTTTGCTTTCGCCATAATACCTGGGCCAGTGCGATTTGCTGGGCCTCAGACTCGGAGACAGCTGTATCACCACTTTGCTGTGTGTCTGCACCAGCCTCCATGGTCATTTAAAATCTGCAGGAAATAAGGGACATACGACAACGATTTTTATGTGTGTCAGTGAGCCTCACAGAGATTTCATTTTGGCGCCGAGTCAAAGCTCTGAAGTCACAACTTCATGTCTTAAAGAGGGTGTGGCTTAGCCTAACATGCTAACACACAACTCGTGTAATCTTAAGATTGCCTACAGCCATTTAAAGAAATAATCGGTTATATGTCGACCGAATACTCACATAATAATATTTTGAAAACAATACACAGCTACATAATTATACGCCACGTAAGCATTGACAGCTACAGGCAACTTCTGAGTCGGACTGGAGTCAATGTTAGCATGTAGCACGCTAACAGCTAAAATGAAGTACACCACTGTGTTTTTACAAAAAACAAACAAAACAACTGCACACAAAGAACTGCATAATATTTAAACGTAGTTACCATGATTATGTCGCAGCGTTATTCCGCCGCAGTAGAAAGTAGTCCGTTGTCTGCAGCCAGTGCTAACAGTATTAGCAGCTGAGAGCTACATGGAGGGAAACGTCTGCATGGATTGTAAAGGCACTTTTCTATCTAACTAGGAATGGTTTGGAGTAGATTTTTTAAAAGACAAATTCAATGCTTCGAGCTGATGCGACTCGTTGCTTCTGTAACAAGATTCGATTTATTTTTTATCAGTAACGTGAAATGTTTGAAACCCACAGCATTTTTTTTAAAAAAAATACTGGCTACAGTGAGGCAGTGGCTCTTGCAGAGACTGAGTCATTTTGTCAGCCTCTGCAACACAGCCGCCATGATCTCTTTGTTGGCTTTGTACGGATACCAGAGCACAAACTACTTCTCTGCTCAGCCAACTCTATCTGCCTAGCAAACATCGGAAGCGTATCCTCTTACCAACACAGGCTCGCTTCGTCACTCCCGGGTCTACGGAGCTCCACTTTTATTCAGACCGACACGTAAGAGACCGCGTCAGGCTACACCTCCGTCGCGTCACCGAGAACAACAACAATGAGAGGAGGACGAGGCAGACGACGACAACGAAAATCTGTTCCGTCGACGGCAGCCGACTGACTACGATGAGTGGCGGAAGGACACGAAGCTCGGCCTTCGTGACGACTTGAGAATTCGGAAGACTCAGACTTTCGACCGTTTGCAACCCCTCTGCGCACGCGTCAGTTTAACTTCTACCTAATACAACAAAATAGGAAAATAATTTTTACAAGCAAAAAACAAACTAACAAACACCCCCCCCCAAAATAACTAAAATTACACATGTAAAATACAAATAGGGGATTTGTGAGTCTCAGTAAAAATATAATAAAATAATAAAATTTATTCAAGATTCAAGATGTTTATTGTCATAAACATTTTTAGGATGAAGCCACTAAGTGTAATGAAAATCTTATTTTGTTGTTCCCCTTTAACAGCCAACACACATATTACATAATTAAAACACAACAGTGAACTAGTAAAGGTAACAAAAGTAATGCAAATAAATAAAATACATAAATTACACTGTGCAAAAACAAGTAAAGTGCACAAGAGTTTTATGTAAAGAGATATATAAAGGCCATTGGTAAAGTGCCAATGGGATTGTTGTTAATGTAAAATAAAAAAGAACTATTTTCTTTTCCCAAATATTATATATAATATTTATCTTATTATAATCCATTCTGTACATATCTCTGATGCATTTTGCATGAATTATGGTATCCAAAATGCCAAATTTTTAACAATTCACAGATGTTTTTAAGGCACAAAGAATTCAGCCAAAATAGATAAACAATAAACAAAGTATTTGCCAGTTTTCTCGAAGTATAGCATCTATTATCTACACAGGTTATTCCAGTGCAGGGTCGCAGGAGGGCGCTGTAGCAAAACCCATCTGTCAACGGAAGAGTTCGGGCCATCGCAGGGCCTCTGTGATCAGTTTAGTGTCCGATCTACCTAATCCCCCAATGAGCATGTTTCTGGGCTGTGGTTGGAAACTGGAATACCTGGAGAAAATCACACTTGCAAACCACTGATCTTACCAGTGAGCTGTTAAAGCAACCTACATGTTAACGACATGTGCCACTGTGTGGACCAGAAGTATATCAGAGTAGTTAAATTGGCAACATAATAAAAAAGAAGACAAAAAAAAAAATGCACAGTATAAGTTGGCCAGAGGTACTTCAAATTTGGTAGAAATGTAATACAGTAAAATTAACAAAATACTGCATGGATTGGCAAAAACTGTAAGCAAAACTATAGTTAAATCGACTAATTCTAGCAAATCTTGCTAAATATTGGCTGTAAAAGGGCAATATTATAAACACCGATCAGATGGTTAATGTAGTCAAAACAAAACTAAATTACAGCTAAGAGGAAAGCGGCTTCTAAAATGTTTAAAAAAGAACAAAATATTGATTTTCCACCCCCTGAAGTCTAGCAGAAAGAGCTCAAAGTCAAAATATCTAGATTTCCATTAAAACTAACGAAATAAACAGAGCAGACGTCGGTATGATGTATTTAAAATTCAGCAAAATGGCTAAAGTGTTGACCAAATTACATTAAATAATCCCAAATGGAACCAGGGGACTAACCATGCTACCAACATATGACCGCAACACTAAAGAGTTCACTTTAATATTGTCATTTGAGGTGACTTTTTCACAACAGCCACACGGTGGCAGCAAAATCCTTTTTTTCTTCCCGTTACAAGGGCCCCAGTCGCACAGTCCAATTGTTTAGGGGCATGTTCTTTTTTTTTATTTCATCCAGATAATATCACTTAGATTGGATTAGCTGTTACTATAACAATGGCTTTTAACCACAGCCACATTGTGAATGTAATGAGCACACCAGGGGCTCCAGCTGATTTGTACTGCTATTATTATTGTTGTTGTTGTATACTGTTTAAGGTCTTTCTGATTCACACAACATTTCCCTCTCCTTGCCTGTCGTCTCTGGCCATAAAATGTGCTCATTAACTCTGTCACTGGAGCCGTGTGAGCGAAATGGGTTCAAGCTGTGGCAGCTGGTCAAAGTCCTGCGGGGAAAATGAGACTTCAGGCCAATTTATGACCATCATCTCCATGTGCGAGGTCATTTTGGAGGACTCTGGGTACACACACAGATGTCAAACACGGCCATCTTCATCCTCCGAGTGATTGACTGTGCTGTTCCAACAAACATACACTCTGCTGCTCACCGATCCCGTGTCCTTTACCACAGGAAGCAGCCAGTCTGTGTTCTGCAGCAAAGGCCTCTGGTTCAGCGCTGAAGGACTGATAATGACCTGTGCACTCACCTGTTCATCCTCTGAAACTCTCAGAGCAAATCAAACAAATATTTGTCTGGGAGCAACGGCCATCTGCATCTACTGATGCATGTCAGTGACCTGATTGGACATTGATTTCCCTTTATAATAATCAGCAGCTACAGGATGGTGGATGGACTGTAGCACCAGCAGTTTGCTGGTTTTCTCATGAAATTAGAACTCTCAAAAACGTGCCCACGTGTGTATAAAAATGAATAGAAGTTACACATAGAAGAGTTCAGATTTGACCAAGAAGTCCTTGAATCCCAAAGCTAGTAATTTTGACTAAAGGTTTTTCAAAATTGCTACAAACAAAAGGCTGATCAAAGAAGAGAAATAACTTTAGATTATTTAGGAAATAACCAAAGGCCATCAAAAAGATACTTAGCGAAAGTGTTCACAAAAATCAAGGTTGAGTGTTAAAATTGTGAAATGCAAGTTTTCAAGGGTATGTGGAAATGTATCAGAAAACCTGGAGGTTTAAACATCTTGGTGTTAACAGCTTTGCTACTGAACCACTGCTAAAACGAACCATATACAACAAAACGTCTGTGAAGAAACATTGTACTGCTATTATTATTGAAAAAAAAAACAAACAAAAAAAACAAAACAAAAACAAAAACAAAACAACATCAACCAAACAGATAACACAGCAAAAAAAGAGAACACATGATTGCCAAAAGATTAGCCACCTGGTTAGCTAAAAATGTAAACAGCCAGAAGAGACAGAGATTCAGCAAAAACTGCTCAAATTTGACTTTAAAAATGGACATGTATTAGTTTTAAAATGGCTAAATGTCCACAAGTGGAAAGTTACAATTAATATATATATATATTAAAAATGAACAAAAATGAAACTTTTTTCTTTCAATCAATAATCAATTCTGACTACCCTCACATTATTCGTCATCATATCCATATTACTGACATTTGACATAATTTGAACAAAGCTCAGGATTCCAGCAGTGATCCAGAGATTTTAAAAACTCCTGAATTGGCTCTAACATATCAGATTACAGGGATTTTAATGTGCAACTTTTCAAAAACGCCCACAGACAGCCCAGAGGAAATGATGCCACCAACCATCCATAGTAGGGTAGGAAGAGGAGGAGGAGGATGAGGAGGATGAGGAGAAGAAGGATAGGCGTTTAATCTGCACAATATGAAGCAAAAATCCTGACTCCAATCCATAGCTATTCGCTCTCTTCCTAAACCCAGCTGTCAAAAGCCCTGGCTTAATACAAGCCCCCCACCAAAAAAAAAAAAAAAAAAAAAACCCACAGGCAGCAAAAACCCGAGAATATTTTCACCAAATCTCCAATTTTTCTTTGCCTTTACATCCTTTTTTAAAAGACATTTTACTATGTAGCTCAATTTGTCCAGTACTTTTGTCCTGTGTGCGAGTGTTGTAATACACACAGTCACATGAAAAAGCGTGACCCTTTCCTAGATCACGGCCTGCAGCGAAGCCCCTGCCTGTCTTAGCCGCGTGGTGCCGTGGTATTGAGTGCATTAATAACGTGCCTGATATATTCTGTCAACACTGTTGTTGAATTTTAAATGTAGTTCTCAATCAAATAAGCAAATGGAAATATCATGGCTGTCAATCAAGCTGGGCATTGTGGGGGATACGTGTTCTTATGTGTTCTATGTGTGGAGGAGAGAACGTTCCAGCGTTCAGAGGCTGGAATAAAAAAAGACAAACAGAGAAAACAGGCTGCACTTGAATATCACTGTCCTTATAAGCCCTGCTTAACTGTCAATCACATTATGTGATAGTTTTACTTTTCACTTACTACAGTGGTCTCCAACTCCTGGCTCAGGGGCCGCTTGCAGTCCACAACCTTTTCACACGTGGCCCATAATGATAATTGTCAATAATTTGATTTTTTAATCATTATTAAAATGCTTTTGTTGGTCATTTAAAGATGAGAAGATGAAGATTTGTACTAGCTGTTTCAACTATAATATTATACAATATTTATATTTAACAAAAAAGTATTTTTCTGAGATATTATTGCATGTTGCAATAACACATCTGCTGGTAGTCTCCAGATGTTAGCCCAGATATAATGAGAAACAGCAATAAAGAAACAGCAAGCAAATAAATAAGTGAATAAATACAAAAAGAAAACAAAACAAAAAAAACACGTAAAGCTAAAGAGGTACAGTTTACCAGAGACAAAAAAGTTATTTTTTTAGCTAAAAATTATAAATTCAAGTTTCCCTCATACAAACAGAGCCAAAGTTAACCACAGAATACCAACGCTAACCAGAAGTTTTCCAGAAATTAACTGGAAGCTAGCAAGGCAGGAGCAAATTAAGCATAAACAAAAATAGCAAAAGAAAATAAAGAAGTTGCAAGTTATAGCAGCTATAATTTGCTGAAATTTATGCTGAACAATAATGTCGCTTAAAGTTTAAAAAACAAATTTGAAAAAAAACTACCTTAAATGTTACAAAATGGCCTAAAGCATGGATAAGTGCTAAATCATCTATTTAATGACATACATTTGTCATTTAATATTGCCAATGTACACACACACACACACACACACACACACACACACATATATATATATTTATATATATAATTACCAATAAACTCCAGACACAAGAATGAAAATAATAAAAAACTGCAAAAAAATTAAAGGCTATATATATCCTTACGATAGCAAAAAAAAATGCAAACAAACAAACAAAAAAAAAAACAAAACACTTAAACAAATTTTGCCAACACTGTACTTGAACTGTTGAATTGTTCATTTGAATTTATCAAAAAAAAAAAAGAAATATAAAAATGCTGAAGCTGTCAATCAAGCAGTTGGTGAGCAGTGTGGGCTGCTGTATATGTATGCAGCAGAGGAGTTGTCGTCTTTCAGAGGGAGGCTAAAGTATGAATACAGACAGCAGAGTACGTGCTGCATTTGAATACCACTGACCTTATATGCACACTTTTCATTGTACCTTCAATTACCTGAGTTGCATGTGAACCATTGTACCTGGCTGGGGTTGCCATGGATACTGGGCTCCCTGGTTCATGAACAGCTTCTCAAATGTGAAGATGTGGCTTTCAGAGATATCCAGTAAAAATATATTCTTTGCCGCTGAGGTGCAGTAGAATCAAACTGCAGCCACGGCCGCTGCTGCTGCTGCGAGGCAGGAGTGTTATCTAACACACAGAGATTGTGCTGACCCAGACCTCTTGCTAATCTGGGCTGCAGGCAACATCGTGTATTGGCCGATTTCAATCAATCCGTCAAGGTGTCAGCACCTCCTCCCCTGGATCCCTCTTCCTGGAAGCATTTCAAAACCAAAGTCTTTTTTTTCTTCAGTCTGACTAATCACACAATTTATTCCACAAAGAGCAGCTATCTAAGTCATGTGACTTGCCGGAATAGTTTTTGTTTTACTGTATAATAAAATGGAAACAGAAATACTCTGATCGAGGACTACACAACAATAGCACTCACAAAATGAGTCACAAATGACTGACTCCAGAATTGAAGGCTTTGATTTAAGTTCAGTAAAATTCAATGTAAATTCAAGCAGAGACTCAGTTCTAACTTTTCTTCACCATGCAGGAATTGGTAAACAATTAACTTGAACACACCATGACACGGACCGTGACATCAAACTTTGACTAAGAGTCAGCTCTTCAACTCATAGACTCAAAACCACAGTGTCTCATTTTTATTTTAAATTGATTTCACAGAAACGTTTGAGACTCAACTCTGACTATGACTCAGATTTTCCAATCTCTTGAATCACTTTTAGAAACGTTTGAGACTCAACTCTGACTATTCTAACCTTTTCTCTTTGATTTAGACTCTGACTCGGACATGACATACATTTTTCTTTGATGACTTTGACCTGTTCTCATTTGAACCTTTTCTAAGAAATAGAATGAACTTTCAGTTCCAACATTAAAGGGAAAAAAGGCAAATTTGAGTTTCCACTCAGTTCACTTCAGCATCAGTTTTAGAGTTAAAGGTGTGTGAGGTTGAACAGATGAGAGGAAAGGCTGACTAAAAAAGGAGGAAACTTTAACATTAAAATAGGCAAAATTAGCATCAGCCTAAAATAATTAAATAAATCCAAAAAGTCCAAAAAGAACAAAAATATCTGAAATATTAGCAAAAACAATACTGCTCAAAGATACCAGGAATGCTCTCCAAAATGTACCTAAAAATTAAAATAATAATAAAATATTAGTAAAAAAATACAAAATTACAATTGCATCATATTTTGCAGGGGAAACTCATTCATGAGCACATCTGCCCTTGTTTCAGTAGTTAATAACCCTGTCATCACCATATTTGTCCTTTTGTGTAAGTTCTGTGATTCGTCTTTTAAACAAATTCAAAGCAGAAACCCTGCTGAAATGACAGTAGTGTCATCGTGGGATCGTTCGTCCTGTAGTTTTGGTTTTTGATTGCCCACGAATTTGAAGCTGACTTTTCACAGTCTGTGAATAAATCTGAAGGACGTGGGAGCGCAGAGCTGCAGTAGATCCTGTCCACTAATTAAGATTCTGTGCTGCTGAGGAATGACGGCTTCTTCCTCTGAAACATGACGTTCCAGCTCTGATGGAGTTTGATGGACATGCAGGAAGTTCAGCCCCAGTGAGCACAACACACTCATTTAAAAAGGCTGATGTTAAAATACCTGCTGTCATATTAGACCGTGAGCCTTGTCTTTGGGAGGAAACTTCACTTCTGCCTTGAATGGAACATGTATCAGAGACGGTTTCTTTTTACCTCATGTTTGGAGAATCCTGTCACCAATTTAAACCATAACAATTTGGCTTTTTAAATCCATTCTGTTTATTTTTTAATAAATAAAAATTTATAAATTTTAATATTTGTCTTTTTCAGATTGCATATAATAATTTATAAAAAATTACTCCGATTTTACTTCATTTCTGAAAAAATATTTTCTTGTGGTAATTTCTTTTCTTTTTTTTTTTTTTTTGCTTTTTGAAATTATTTTGATGGTTCAGTCTAAGCATTTCCTTGTCAGCATTTAAAATTGTAATGGATTTTTTCTAAATAAGTTTTAGTTTTTTTAATGAAAACATATATTTTATCATTTGTTTCGAATGTGTATAGCAATAATATTTTTTAGATATGATTGCTATATTTTTACATAGAATTTTAGGTCCAATTTTGGATAATTCATAGCTCCTATGGCCTTATTTTTCACCACTTTCCACTTACCTTGACCTATTTTACAAATTTTAGTGATTTTTTTTTAAAATTCATGACCAAATATAACCTTCCGTTATTTATTTAGTGGAGGTTTAATGTACTTGTTTTGCAGGACCCCTCCCCACCACCACCTTATTTTGGTCACAACAAGTTGACTGGAGCATTTTTGGTTATTTCATTCTTCATTTTCCCTTCAGTTGTGTCCTCTCTGCCTCACAGCTGTCCAGTACCAGGACATGACAGTGGTGAGTTTGTGCCACACTGAACCTTCAGGTCATAACGTGTCATTCTGGACGCACTGACTCTTCCCGGCAGAGGCCGATGCTGCAGCTCAGTGACACAGAGCGTGAGGTCATCCATCAGAGAAGGCTAGTGTCTGTTAATGTGTCACGACTGACTAAAGACATGGTCACAGTCAAGGACAGGACAACGGAACAGCTACATTTGGACGTCCTGTGGTTTCATGGGAGGAGAACGGGGCATGTTTGTAAAGGATCGCAAGTTTGAATCCCATGTGCCGTGCTCCAGAAAACCCCTCCTCCTCCTCCCCTCTCCATCCCCCCAGGAATCAGTTGATGGTTTAAACAAAGCAGAGGACAATACAGTTGGTCATTCTTCTTTTTCTATTGAATTATTCCTCAAATGCTTTTATACACAGCAAAAGAATAATAAAAAAAAACATGTTAACATCAGTGTTACTAAGAGCCACATGATGGATGAGAGCTTGGTTTTCTCCAGGCACTCCCACGGTCTACAAATGTGCAGGATCAGGTTCATCGTTCATTCTAAATGTAGGCGTGAATGAATCTTTTTAGATTCACGGAGATAAATAGGCCGTCATAACAATAACAACATTATGTTTTCATTTACTTCCAGTAAGTTAGGTCTGTGCACTCACATACAGCCAACACTGATCTAATACATGCCATATATGTTATATTTTAATTTCCTTCTCAGGTTCACAATAACTAATAAAAGAAACCTTGACCTTGACCTTGAGGTTGAGGTTGAAGCCAATCCCAGCAGTCACCAAGTGAGGGCAGGGTCCAGGTCGTATATATATATGTATATATGTATATATGTATTCACACTCACATTCACACCAACAACATGGTCAGTTTACCCCATATGTTTCACAATATGTTCCATTATTTTCTTCTTCTTCTTCTTGTTTTTTTTATTTTTTGGAGAAAGTTTCAAGTTCCCCCAGACTTGATGGTCTTCAGGCCTGGACCATGGGCTTCACTCCATAGACTCTGGTAGGACTGACTAAGGTAAATCCAAGTCCTGCAGTTTTCACAGTCGGTCTTTACAGGGATTTCTTCTAATTCCTTTGATATTTTCCTTTTGAAATATTTGAGTGTAGATGGCAACAGGACTAAATGATCATTTCTAAATTCTTGTGCTAATTCACAGACAGATTTCCATTCTTGCTTGGAGACCAAGCCTTTTGCACAGAAAGTTTTCTCTATACAGCGATTGTGACATTTGGGAAATGTTTCACTTCCACCTGTGCCTTTGTTCTGAACAGCGTTGATCTCTTTGAACTTCGTGATAAAACTCCTTCCCCCTGTTCTTGACACGTGGAAACATTTTCCACACTTTTGTGCGTCCTTCTCTTTCTTTGTCAGCGTAAAACATTTTTCCTTCTGAAGTCCTTTGTTGTTGACACAATGCCTTCACGAGTGACGGCTCAGACTATGAACTCTGAAAGCTCTTTTATGTCGAGTGTATTTGAAAGATAGAGTTTGGGCTCGTGGTTCGCAGGGTTACTGTTTTAATGTGTATCGTTGGTTTGTGTTACGGTCTGAAACACTCTCCCAGCTTTAGGGAAATGGATTGTTTTTGTTTCAAGGTAAACCATTACACCTCCTAGATTAAGCTCATGTATTTTGCTCTGAGATTCATAAAATATCTCGCACTGAACCAAGTCAACATGAAAAAACTGTATTTATTGTTTGCCACATATATATGTATATATAAATATACCAAAAAGCCATGGGAAATCAAATCATGCTGTCGTCCCTCACCTCTGTTTTGCTGCCGAGTTCAAAGGTTGCCATGGCTACCAGCATCCCAGCAGGACCAAGGTGCGCTCTGCCCCGGAGCCATCAGAGTAAACGTGCTCTGCCGACGGGTGGTGAGAATACATTGACCTCTGACCCATCAAGGCCCTTGTAGTGCTGGTGAACAGGGAGCAGAGGAGGTGGAGGAGATGTTGTAAATTCATCTGATCCCGCTCACAGGAGCCACAGGCTGGTGGGGGCGTAGTGGCCTCGTCGCGTCTGAGCCCTGAGACTCAGGCCAGCTGTCTCCAGGATTTCAGAGGAGGCCGTGGGCGAGAGAGATAGCCTGCCCTCTAATCCACAGAGTCTCTCTCACCTTGTTTCGCAGATAGTTCCATGTATTGTGTCAGATCTTTGCACCTGTCACATGCTGCAGCTCGCACCAGAGATGCTGTGTGTGTGTGTGTGTGTGCGCACAAATGTGTGTCATAACAGCTCAGATGAAAAGAGAGTAAAAGACACAGAAATATGGTGCAGATTTGATTTTTTTTCACTATAAAAAGTATTTAAAAATATATATATTTACTCTAAATACAAGTTTGATACAACAGGTCACCATCACATATATTTAATACACAATCTTCAAGTCCAACATTTCAGTTAACGACTTAAGAACGTCAACGTTTTGAGCAGTTTGGAGTAGTGTTTTAACATCAGGGACAAAGACAGGAGCAAAGCTTACTGTAAGACAATACGACCGTATGAAACACCTGAAGACACGTCTTCTGTACTGTACTGAATACACTCATGTCTCCCAGAGAACAGATGAGGAGTTCACACCTCACCAAGTCACGTTTTTGTTGAGACCTATTGAACCAACAGTGTGTGTTCATTTGTTTTTTAATGAAACACGTTTAAACACAACAATCACTTGTGTCTTCAAAAATCATTTTATATCTCTATTGTCTAATGACAACGACAACAGCAGCAGTTAAAAAAAGCAGTTTTTGTTTAATGCAGATTGTTTAATATTTTGTTTAATATTTGTTTCCTTTTGGATTGAAACGTTTTGTTGTTAATGAGAAGAAAATAAAAACGACTGGAAGTGTTTTTCTGCTTGGTGTCCTAACTGTGGTTTAGCCACACTGCAGTCTCCGTCAGTTTCACACAGTGTTGGTCCACCGACATAAAATGGACTAATAATGTAACTACAGTTGGTCAGAGTTAGTCACAGATTCAGAGCTAGAAGAAGAAAAGCTTAACCTTGATGTGATATATATATACATATACATATTTATATATATATATACATATATATATACATACACACAGAAAACCAACAGCGTGTTTCCATGCTGATGTGTTTGCAGTAGGGAATAAGAGAGGGGACAGTCAGGAGCAGGGTTATTTACTGCGTGGCCCAGGCGACCTGCCCGTCCTCACGTCCAGCCCCTGCAGATTAAGATGCAGCCGCTGGCTGCTGCCACCGCGGGCTGAGATTGATGGGGAATATGAGGGCCACAGCGGCCCCTGCAGAATCCTGAACAGTGCCTGTGGCTCCCACCCAGCCACAGAGAACGCTGCTGGCACACTCCCTCCTGTCCCTGCCTCTGTTTTCCCCCCCTATATCTTATGTCTGATTTTTTTTTATCGCTCTGCTGCTCTTCCTGGCATTTTTTTTTCTTTCTCTCCGTCTCTCTGTGTCACTGTGATGCTTTCTGCATATCTGTTTTTCTGTCTCTGTCACTCTGTCGCCCCTATGTCCCACCAACACACTCTCTCTCTCTCTCTCTCTCTCTCTCTCTCTCTCTCTAGGCTCCTGCCTTCACACACCAACACGCTGTCTCAGCAGCTTTGGCACATTTGGATGTCACAAAACTGCAGGTGCTCCAGGCTTACAGCGTGTGTGTTTGTGTGTCTGCGCTCACCGACATCAACTGCAGCATCAAACTCAGGCGTGTCCAAAGAGTGGACTCTTGAAAAATGACGTGTAGCACATATTTAGAAACATCAGTTTGCTAACATTTAGCCAACCTAAAGTTGAACGTCGGTGTGCTTTGTCAAAACGTTACCATAATTATACACAGTTTTAATAAACACTTGCCTGATTTGTAATTTTCTTACAATCCCTATTCTGCTTCAGATGTAAGGTTTTGCATTTTCCCCCAAAAAATATGCTTTTTTTTTTTTACATAAAATAAAGCTAGCTTTAGCTTTACCTTTTGGCTAACCTCAAGCCAGACCGTGAGTAACAAACCTTAAGAAATTCCGCTACATATTACTTTAACTCTTGACATACATTAAATACATTTCTAATGTTATCTATAGGCTAACCATTAGCATTTTCTTTTACTTTTGGTGTTTTGTGTTTCAAATCAATCCAGTGAATTATTTGTAAGTAATTTTCACTGACATTTTTTGTTTTTCTTATTGTTTTAGTTTAAAATGTTTTTCTGTCATTCTTATCACTTATTTCTCTGGTAACCGTTTGCTATCCTTCCTCTAATCATGAGCGATTTTATAGCATGACACTTCAGCTAATGACATCAACTGGGGTTAAGTTCCTATTGGTGCAGTGATGAGTCGTGTGTAAAACATCTGTTTGGTGTGTTTGTAGGCACCAGTTGCTCCACACTCACCCTGACATGGTAGAGGAAGGGTAGAAGATAGATGCCTGTAGGTATGCCAGTGTGTGTGTGTGTGTGTGTGTGTGTCTGCATGCGCTGAACAAACTGCACTGGCAGGGTTTTTGTTGAAGTCCCCTGGGCAGAAGACGCATGAGTCAGCGGCTAGTAGGATTTATAGCCAATTGATTAAATTAGCATTTGTTCTGCTATACTGGGGGCAGCAGCCTGTCACTGTGCACACGCACCGACACACACAAACACACACACACACACTGCGGTTAAGGAATGCAGAATTACAGAAACAAGAGGGGGAAAAAGCACAGAGAGAATCCAGAGAGTGGCAGGACACAATTAGCAACGATGTCAGTATGTCGCCATGATTAAGATCAGGCTCAGTGAGATGTAAATACTGGAAAAATGGCCGAGTGCAGTCTCCCGCTCTGTGTCCTCCTCGGCAGCTCCTTCCTGATGTGATGGAACTAGTGAGCATGGAGGGTCGCGCACACTGGGCTTGCTGACAAGCCTTTTTTATGACATTCATCAAAGCCATCTGCCATTTTCCGCTCAATTAATTTGTTATGGGAAGTGGGATCAATTAAGTGCGCACCGTAATGGCTTTATATCCTTGTTTCCCTTTTATAGCCCAATATTTTCTGTGCTCCACTCTGGCATGAAAAGGCTGAAATCGATATCGCCGGCTATTTTCCCCCTTCTGTGGACTAATTTGTTGTTTTTTTTTGCCACTCTCTCTCTCTCTCTCTCTCTCTCTCTCTCTCCCTCTCCTCTTTTTCTGGCATGATAAACTGGCTATAATGAGGGGGTTAGGGCGAGAGGACAGGCTCAACATGAACCGGTGCTCCAGCCAACACACTGGGCCGCTTTCTCGCCAAGCAAATTTGCCCAAATCTACCCCAGTGAGGGCTGATAGAGATGTCAGCAGTGACCGTATGCTGCATGTGCGTCTTTATTTAACCGAAGCTACGCTGTGTTTACGCTAAAGTCGTGAAAGTCACACATAGGTGTAGAGACGTAGGTGGATATAGACCTAGAGGTCTAAATGAGGCTCAGACAGAGAGGGAAGAAAGAACCATGATACACCTCAGATGATTCTCACTGGCATCTCAACGATGGTGACATTTCCTGACATCGTCAGTGACCTTTCTGGTTAACGACGCTACAGGGTGATGCTACAGGAATGATCCGTGGACCAGTTTAGATATAAATGGACAAGCATAAATCACAGGTCCTATAGAATATATGGTCAAGAGAGAGAGATGTGAAACAGTATGTATGAACTAGTCCATGACATGGTCACATGGTCGACTCTTACTTTGGATGATTCAGATCTCTGTTGAACTGAGTGGTGATTTTCATTCAGTCATTTCATTCTCTGACTTTATGAAACTGTCACGGCGAAGAACCACGACTGATGTTATAAACTGAGGAAGAGTTAAAACAGGGGGTCCTCCATTTACATCAGAATTCCATTTCGCTGTAAGTCACTGCTCACATAGTGTGAGCTATTGTTTTAATGCTGTACGTCAGAAGGAGACTTTAATCATCAATTCATGAGAGATGGCGATGTAACCACAAAACGCCGTAAGTCGAGGACGTTGGAGGACCTTTATTTCTAAACTTCCGTAAACCCTGGAGAATTTCTAGATTTCTTCTTAGAACCAGATACGTTTGGTCCTCGCTATGACACGGTCCGCAATTGTTCCACGCACTTAACTAAAGACACACCAGTATCAACAGGGATTGACCTTTAGCCTATGCGTCATGGTGACACAGAGACAGCGAGTGGCTTAGGCTCAGAGTGGAGACACTAACGATAAGGACAATGCTGGACAGTGAGGTCTGACAGTGATTGGTTGGTCGTCTGCGCCGGCTCCCGGCTCCATTAGTACTTGTGTCACGAGCTGCCGTGTTCTTGTCTGGCTCACCTCGACCCCTGCAATGTATTGATTCCTTCCCCATTAAAGCGGCTGATGGGCTTGATAATATGATGAGGACCGTAGGCGTGGCTGGGTGGTTGTTGTGCGTCCGTGTGCATGTGTAAGACTCCGCAGCAGGTTAGGGGCCAATCGCAGCAGCTCTGATGACATTGCCATATTGATTTTGACATCATCTGGTTGGGATGCACCTCAGAGACTGGGTCTTAAACCAAGGTGACCAGAGTGTCACCTTGTCTGTGTCAGCAGGCTTCCAGGGGCCACAGAGCTGCCAGCGGAGCACCTGTGAGATTAACACAGCCCACACTGGATTAAAGTTGCGTTTAAGGAATTATTGTACAGGCCGAACAACAAACTTCAGTTAGAGGGCAGAATAACGACAAGACCAAAAGATCCACCTGTGATACTTGACCAAAAGACACAAACACAGACATATGATTGAAGTGCAGGCCAAAAGTTATACAAAGGTTATTGACAAAGGTCCGCAAAAGTATCGTACTTTTGCTAGGTCAAATGAGCAACTAGGCCAAGATTAAAGATAACCCCAAATTAGCTAAACATTAGCCAAAAGATAATAACACAATGTGTTCATTGGAAATTATACAAAATGCAGTGAAAACATTTTACACGGGCAAAAAAATCATCTGCTACAATAGACCCCGTGGTCAGGCTGTGGATTCCAAACGTCTTGATGCAGTGCAACATGTCCATAAATCATTATCACTCTGGTGAAAAAAGCAACAACAAGCTTATCCTCTTAGCATTTCTGTTTGCGTTGAGATTAAATTTCCATGTTCATTAGTAGGATTCTGACTTGTGTTGGTGAACACATTTGTCACAGTCTATACTGTAAAAAATTGTGATACTGGACTAACGACATTAAATATTAAAATGCAGGTGCGTAACACGGTATAACAGCATATAACGGTACAATGATTTAGTGGCTCAATCACTCAGGAGGATAAAGAATCTGACATCTGGGGCTTTCTAAAGATACTTGAATTCATCATCCTGACACAAACAAATCCCAGCTAAGTTTCTAAAAGTAAACAACCAAACCTGGATGATTCTCCAGAAGACATATTTACACATATCATAAGGATCTGTAATTTGAAATTCCAAAGACTTTTGAGGAATCTTTTATTTAAGTTTTATTTTATATATAATATTATAATAATAATATTATATAATAAATATAAATATAATATTTAGTTCCATTACTAAATATCTTTTGTAATTTGGCGAATAGTTTATGCAGTGTGTGACATTTTTAAAAAAATATCCCATAATGCCCCAAAAATAGTTGGTGACCTCTGTTAAAAAATAAAATTTTAATTCTTTAAAGTCCTATTGTGTAAGAATAAATCTAGTGGTTAAATTCCAAGCTGCAACAACTTCCTTTTG